AGGGCATTATCCTGGCAGCTTGCAGGAGAGTACGCAGTTGTAACAATTTAGCTTTAAAATTATGGCTCGCTCACGTTCTAAGTCTTCGAAGGCCATGCGAACAGATGAACTCAAGAACCTTTCCAGTGAAGTTCTTCGCCTTCGTCTGCAGCGTCTTAATCTTCCAATCACTGGAAGCCATACCCAAATGCTTGAAAGGCTGAGGTTGGTGACCAAGTCACCCTCACAATGGACGGGTGCACAAAAACAAATCTTCGGCTTCAAACGTATGCGTCCATCCGTATCCGAAGCCTAATAGGCTGATTTAACAAGAGAACGGGAACGTCACTTGACGACAACGCGCAGTACAAATACCCAAATATGGTCAGATGACAACTGCAGGGCACGCGGAATAACCTGGATTTTGTTCTAATTTGACCATATTCGGGTATTTGTACTACGCACGCCGTCGTCAAGTGACGTTCCTGTTCTCTTGCTAACTCAGCCTAATGTCCTGTCAGAACAGGCTGACGTGGAGACCCACAGTTCCGATGAAGACGGGCAATCGGACGTCAACTCAGCCGTTGAAGAACTGTTGGAGGACTTTGAGCCACAGGTCCTCCAGAATGCGATATTTTCGCCCACTCAGATGTCGGCCCTCCAGGAAACCGTGTCATTCTCCGTCAATGAAGCTTTGTGGTTCTTCAATAACCATGAGGCCCAAGCACGTTTCTCGGACGATCTTCGCACTCCCAGTCCTCGCACCCTGAACACAGTGACTCCTCTGGGCCTGCATCGTCCCCTGGAAAAAAGCCTTGAGGACAAAATACTCCGTGGTGAGTACATAGACCATGCCCAGTTCAACTGCCCTGGTTCCAAACCATCTGGAAGCAGCAACAGACCAGCCAACCCCAGTGATCGCAGCAAGAAATAAGGTGGTGCTGCGCCAGCTGGACCGCAACCTGACAGTATCCCCCCAACTTCATGTAGATAAATTAGGGCTTGAATTAGTTAATCACCCTAATAGCTCTTTTGTTAGCAATTTAATCAGTGCCCTGCGGTATGGTGCTCGCATTGGTTACCTTGGCCCCCACAAAGCATGGGTGTCGTGTAATTTGATACCAGCCTCTCAACATCCTGACGTCGTTTCTGGGAACCTTAATAAGGAAGTGCAGCTGGGAAGAATTGCAGGTCCCTTTCCCTCTTCGCTCCTACCTAACTTGCAGTGTCATCCCATAGGCATAGTCCCTAAAAAGCACTCTGTAGAATGGTGTACTATTTATCATCTCTCCTACCCGGAGGGGGATAGTATAAATGACCACCACATCCCAAAGGATCCTTATTCGTTGCAGTATGTTTGTGTCGATGATGCGATCACGATACTGCGGTCTTTGGGCCCTGGGAGTTTTATGGCCAAAACGGACTTGAAATCCGCCTTTCGCCTCATGCCCATCCACCCCAAAGACTGGAACCTTTTGGGAATCTACTGGCAATCCCAGTGCTACATAGACCTTTACCATCCATTTGGGCTTCGCAGTGCCCCGTTCCTTTTCAACCAAATTTCCAATGCTTTGGAATGGATTCTTAAGCACAACTACGGCCTCCGCCACGTTATTCACAGTTTGGATGATTTTGTCATAGTGGAGCATACGAAAATTGATTGCCTAGGGCGCTTCACTACCCTTCTTAAGGTGTTTATGTCCCTTCGGGTTCCTACCGTCGCCTCTAAGACCATGGAACCCTCACAAGTCCTAGAGTTCATGGGCATTGTCCTAGACAGTAACCGTATGGAAGCATGTTTGCCTGAGGACAAGCTTGCCAGGATACAGCAATTACTGGCCTCTTTTACCAACTGCTGTTCTGCCCGCCTTGTAGATCTTCAATCCCTTATCAGTACTCTGTAATTCGCCTGCAAAGTAGTGGTCCTGGGTAGAACCTTCCTTCAGCGCATCATAAACCTCACCCGGGGG